GATTTTTATAAAGTTTGTATTTCTAAAATTGTAGTGTGTATCAGTATTCGTATATGTAGAAAGGAATAATTCACGGTCAGTTTTAACTTGGGAGAATATAACCTCAGACAATCGTTGATTATACAGTGCCTCAATATTCAGGATACGATGTTTCTCAAAGTATTGGAATGTATGATCGCGGCTTGATAGGTTTTCAATAAATCGTATACTTTTTTTCTGCATTAACTACAAACTAGTCATATTACATTTAGATGTAACCCCCCAGACAAGTAAACAATAGTGCAGTCGAGAATGAACAGTAGTGAAATAGAGCTGACGTTTTAGCCACATTGGTAATAAGGCACGAAATCTATTCAGCATGCCAATAGACTGTGCGATGTCACGCTTCACAAAATTCACATGACATGTCCAGCGAAGGTTTTCATGAAAATGTATGCCCAAGAATTTGTATTCGGTAACCCTTTCTAGTGACCGTGACTGGAATACTATTTCGGTAGTAAGGTTAACTGGTCTGTTAATTGAGGAAAAAACAATATATTTTGTTTTGTTAACATTTAGAAGCAGCTGATTCGCATCAAGCCACTTCGATAAGTTTTTGAGCCATGCGTTTGTGACAGGAATAAGAGATGATAGGTCCCTGGATGAAAAAAAAAACACTCGTGTCATCGGCGTAAAGTACTATGTCTGGCGTATGGGGGATAGCAACAATGTCATTGATATAAAGAAGGAATAGTATAGGTCCTAATATTGATCCTTGCGGAACACCAAATTTTATATGTTCAGTGTCCGATTCTATACTATTAGCTACCACAAAGTGGCTACGATTTGTCAGATAACTGCGCAATAGTTTAAGTGAAATGCCTCTAATTCCGTAGTGTGGCAGTTTATCAAAGAGAATATTATGCTTGATAGAGTCAAAAGCTTTATTGAAATCTACGAAGATGCCTATAGTGTAGGATTGATTTTCTATATTGCTGACAAGTTTTCCTCGAATGTTAAGTAAAGCTGACTCAGTGGATTTACCTCTCTGAAGTCCATATTGGTTTGCAGAAATTAGTCGGTATTTATGAAGATGATTAATTATTCTAGATGTCTACAAAAAGCTCTGTAGGGTTGTGTGGAGGCCCTCTTGCAGCACAGATGTGTATTTGTCCTCACCGTCTCTGGAAAAGACGACCATAACACAGTATGAACGTCCCTCGGAGACAAAAGGCAGACTTTTTGTATTCCGCAGTAACCATGCCTGCGTTCAAATTTTGGCCGTCAAGGGAAAAGGGACGTAGCTTGAGGGTTCAAACTGAACAGATAGCAACCTAGAAGGTTACTCGTGCTTCACTTTAGCTCATCTTGCGCCAGAAAGTGCAGAAGGGGACAAAATAGAAAGTGTCGGGCCAGTTGTAGTGTAGGGGCATGTCTACAAAAAGCTCTGTAGGGTTGTGTGGAGGCCCTCTTGCAGCACATATGTGTATTTGTCCTCACCGTCTCTGGAAAAGACGACCATAACACAGTATGAACGTCCCTCGGAGACAAAAGGCAGACTTTTGGTATCCCGCAGTAACCATGCCTGCGTTCAAATTTTGGCCGTCAAGGGAAAAGGGACGTAGCTTGAGGGTTCAAACTGCTCAGATAGCAACCTAGAAGGTTACGCATGCTTCAGTCGAGCTCATCCTGCACCAGAAAAAGCACAAGGGGGGAATATAGGAGTGTGGGAGCGGTTGTACTGTGGCGGCATGTCTAGAAAAAGCTCAAAAGTAATTTGTGGAGTCCCTCTTGCGGCGCAGACCTGTATTTGTCCTCACCGTCTCTGGGAAAGACCACCCTAACAAAAGAATGGACGTGAAACTGAGGCAAAGGGCGTAGTTTTGCTTCGAGGTAGAAACAGCGCCTGCGTTCAGATGTTGGCCGTCAGTGAAAACGGACTTAGCTTGAGGGTTCAAACTGAACAGGTAGCAAGCTAGAAGGTTACTCATGCTTCAGTCGAGCTCATCTTGCACCAGAAAAAGCACAAGGGGGGAAAATAAAGAGTGTGGGGCCAGTTGTACTCTAGGGGCGTGTATACAAAAAGCTCTGCAGGAACAAACCTTTTCCCGAGGTGGACAGCAGGGGCCTGAAGACATAAATAAAAAAGAAGTGACACATTTAACGAGTCTTCACTGCGCCAGAAAAACAAGAATCAGCTCATTTCTTTTTGAGACCTCAGACTTTATTAGGCCAAGAATACAATTTTTCAGACGAGCTGTCTCAATGTAAAAACACACTTCCTTATTAGTACCCTTTTGACACACAAACAGTCCTACCTGGTGCGAGACCCTTCCCCAACAATTTGATAGTTGTACGTACCTATAATGGTTTTCTAATTACGAGCGAGCGGCAGCTCTTTGAAGTCTTGCTCGCGCTCTGGTGAGCCTTCAAACGACCAGCCGCTCCGCCGAGCGCGCGCCGCACGAGATGAATGAATTAAAATAATCTCGCGCGCATAGCGAACGTTCCTTTTACCCGAGGGAGCGCTTCAGAACAAAAAAGCAAATTGTGGTAGCAAATGATGAAGCGGTGAGCAATATCGAACCTGAAAATGACTGCTTTCGTGCGGGAAGTCGCATCAGTGCTCGTACAGTAACCTATCGACTCGATCAGAGGCAAACTACAGTCGTCAGGTCTTCTACGGAACTCGTGCTCACGTTTGACACCAACATCGCGTCTCGGGAACGAAAATTCAGCCTCGGAGGTCCGAACACAGGCTCGGAAATCAGAATTGGCCGCCATGACCATGCCCACGGTAAAAGCGTCGTAGCTTCGCGAAAGCTTTTATTTCACACGTTCAAAGTGGTGTCCATAGAGTCTAGAAAGAACAAGGAACACATCGGTGCTAGCGGTGATGAGATACGACCAGTATTAATGAAGGAAGTGTCTATTCTGCCGGCAGCCGGCAGAATAACCGGGGGGGGGGGGGGGAACAAGTGCCGGCAGTAGTCGCCTATTGGGTCTCGTATAAAACGGATTGTAAACACGCCTATTCCGAGCTGTGGATTAGCTCAGTGGGTAAGATGTGCGCTTCGTACACAGCAGGATCTTAGTTCAATCCCCCGAGAAAATTTGTTTTTTTTTTTCTTCGGACTTTTGTTTTTTGTTGAGGTATTAGGCGATATTTACGGCATCTCTCTTTTAGAATTAACACTACAAAAAGAACACGCAAAAAAAAAAAAAAAAACAACACCAGAAATCAGCCGAGTTCTCCGAGCGGTTTTAATAGGTCGATAAAACAACTTTTGCGTTTGCTATCTCAAAGAAATTTGACACACAAACAGTCCTACCTGGTGCGAGACCCTTCCCCAACAATTTGATAGTTGTACCTATAATTGTTTTCTAATTACGAGCGGGCGGCAGCTCTTTGAAGAATATCAATCCACTCGTGCTCGGGAGACTGTCCCCGTTGATCGAAAAGTCTCGATTGAGATGAGCCGACACGGTTTCACTGCACACACATTTTCCTACGATGTTGTTTTCACGACCACGATAGATGAATGCACTCCAGCGGTCTTGAATATTCACGGGTGAACGATTGAACTTGGTCGGGGTTTTTAATCTCCAAGCAGAGTCCCAAAAACCTGTTTTTGCGAATATAACGAGTTCTAGACTAGCTGGAGCGATGAAAATTTAACAGTGCGTCTAAATTCAGAGCGCGATCATTCGCTGCGAATTAGAACCTTCTAACTATCGTAGTTTTCTTTATACGAGCATATGCCAAATCACAACACCACAGAATGAAGCCTTACACGTAAACTTTTTAATCATCACTTTCTTATTAGATTAGCTACATCGATGAGACGCGCCTAGAATGTTCCTCGGAACATAATATCACTCGCCTGGTTAAAATAAATGACCCAGCTAGCACTTGTGGATTGATATATTTGAATACAAAGTACAGAGATACAAAAAAAGAAGAGAAAACGCAAGTTCAAAGGCTGTATAGATAATACAACGCCGCTGACAGCGTCTTGCAATAAGCGCAACAGAGAACATTAAAAGAATGTATGTGCTCGCTTTTGGGCGAGCACACATAAAAAAAACACATTTCTTTTTTTTTCACGATTACCACTGGAAAAAATCAAATTTCTGAATAAAACTGACAAGGTACTTACTTCATTTCCGCAGGTGTGCACAGCAGGGGCCTCTTTGTCCGTTTAACCTCAGATTGTTATATTATATTAAAAACGCGACACCAGGTAATCCGTAAAATGGGAGAGCGGAACAGGGGAAAATTGTAATGTAATAGCTCACAACAAAGTTGGGAGGAGTGGCAGTAGTGGGCAAGAGGAAAATAAAACACCATGCAAAGAGTTATCAAACAAACGCTCGATCGACTACAAAACATTGTCAGATATAAATCTGCGATGAGGTAGGCTGTTTCATTCTGTTATGGTTCTGGGAAAGGACTATTTAAATGCATTTGTAAGGAGATCAAGACCCTATGGCGTCGGGAAGTATTTAAATTCTTTTTTTTATATTTAGTTTCTATTCATTTACACTGCAGGCCATTTCCAATCCCCAAGCAGGGTGCGACGAGAAGGAACAAAAAAATAACAGTAAACCGACAAATCTGGTACACTGAAGATCACAAAAAGAAAGAAGAAAAAACACAAGTTCAAAGGCTATGTATAGATATAACAGAACGCCGCTGATGGCGTCTTGCAATAAGCTCAAACATAAGAAAGAAGAATTTATGTCCTCGCTCTTTTTTATTTTTTTTTCACGATTACCACGGGAAAAAATCTAATCTCTGAAGAAACTGATAAGGTACTTACTTCGTTTCCGCAGGTGTGCACAGCAGGGGCTTCGTCCTCACCAGCAAAACACAAAACAACAGATTTTTTCTTTTTTACCTCACATTTTAATAACCTCAGACTTTATTAGGCCGACAATGCAAGTTTCCAGACGAGCTGTCTCGATGAAAACACACTTGTTCCTATTCAGTGAATTCGCACGAGCTAACACGATTTCATAAAAACACTTTTTGCTTGGAGCAAGTTCTCAGTTGCCATTCAAGCGGTCTTGATTAAGCACAGGTCATCCGCAGCTGAAGGAGGTCACTTGAAACGGAGGGCCAGCCGTGCAACTCGCTCTTGCGCTGCACAAAAAGACAATCTAGCGCCCTACATTAAAGATGCACCGAACGTTCTTACGCCATACACATATATTTTTTTCATTTCTTCCGTGCGTCAGAGAGTGATGAAACGTTTGAGTTCGTAGAGGCCGGCTTCCTAGCTCCGCGCCGCCGCCGATTCCGTGTTTGATAAAAAAAAAAAAAACTGCTCCGACTTTACTCAAATAGATTAACAATTTAATCAAACGTTTCGTCTACCATCCGGGAAACATCGTCAGTGAAACCTACAAGCAGGAATGAGGGAAAAAAAAAAACTCGATTCCGTGTTTCCCGTGAAAAGAACAAAAGAATTCGTGCAAGAAGTCGGCTCCAACGGTCGCCCAAGAGACAAAGGAGCTGTAGCAGACGGCAGAGGTTCGGGGAAAGCTCACGCCACTAGCAAAGCCTGGCCTGGCTCGGCGCCGCCGATTCCGTGTTTCCCGTGAAAAGAACAAAAGAATTCGTGCAAGAAGTCGGCTCCAACGGTCGCCCAAGAGACAAAGGAGCTGTAGCAGACGACAGAGTTTCGGGGAAAGCTCATTGCACTACCAAGGCCTTGCCTGGCGCGGCTGCCCGCCCGCCGAAACCGCTCCTCCTTTCCCTCGTTCGGGAGACGCTAGTATCTTTTGTTTTTGGCTTCTTGTCGGCTGCGTTCTTGGCGCCCGACTTGATTGACAGCCACTGTCTGGCGGTCTGCTTTAATCTCTTCTTCCCTGCCTTGCAGCGGGGACTGCTCCTCTTTGTGCAATAGCTACTCTGGGGCGTTTTTCTTTTTGCTATTCTTTGCTTTAAAAGCTCTTTCCCTGCGTCTAGCAAACACACACACTTCTTTCGCGGCACCGTTAATGAACACCGTCTGCGTTTAGAAACTTAAAAACGAACAGCCCCGAACTCGATTACCGAAGCTCCGATGAAATTAATCAGCGCGCCAAGCGAAAACCCAACACGCTCGAACGCTGATTTTACGATGCAAGATAATAAAAAAAACGTATTTGGACCCTACCAAACCTATTACAGCAAGAAATTAAGAAATACGAGCAAAACAATATTGCGCAATCCTTAATCGGACGTTCGAATAGCGGCTGACTTCGTTTTATCAGTTAAAAAAATAATAAACGTAGGTAGACACGCTGAACTTCACGTATAGCCACTCTAACACATACCGTTTTAAAGCCAACAGTTTATTTATTATTTCGTGCCAACTGAGAAATCGACACGAGCTCAAAAGACGAATTTTGCCTAACGAAAACTGCCCAAACGCCTAGGATGTCACGCTTGCAAAATTGTGGAATGCCTTTTTCCCACCCTATTATAGTTTGATCGCTCACTCCTCTCTTTTTCCGAGGCAGTATTCCATCATTTCGCGATCGAATACGCGCTTCAAAGCTCAATACACTTTATATCTTTGCCGAGCATGGACCTATCAAAAAAAGCACTTCCATGAAACATGCCTAGGTAAATCTTGCTCGCGCTCTGGCAAAGAGCCTTCAAAAAAACGACCAGCCGCTCCGCCGAGAATTCAATTCATCTTGCGCGCCTATATCACGCTCAATATAGTAGATCCCATTAAAAGCCTTCTTTGCCGACACTCGGAAAAGCGTGCAGAATCACGCACGCTCAGAAAAGAACATTTCCATCTACCAACCGCCGAGCACAACAAACGCTCTTCTAATCTCCTCGCAAAACGCACGCGCTCACACAAACGACTTTGGGCAAAAACAAAGATCATGAAATGATCTTTGTTTTTATTCCCAGCGTCATGTACACGCATTTCTTGCGTGGAACAACGAATGAATAACTGCTATCTGCGTTTAATTCGATCTAGAAATCCCGTCGCGCCCGTTTGTTTACTTTCTGCCTTCCAGGTTAGACACCGTTCCTTCAAAAAATCGTAAAAAATCACCAATTCGTGCAAGAAGTGCGTGCTTCGGACGAGAGGTAGCGAACATTAAGCGCCTTAGTTTGCGATTAAATAAGCTTCTGTACGCGTTTAATTGAAACTTGAAAGCACGCCGCCCGTCACGCGCGATGCCGGCGTTCGCTTTTCCAGGAGGGTTAAACACACTGCTCCTTTTTTCTTTAAGTTGAAAAAAGGTAATAATAAAAGTAGATAGAGATTCTTAATTTCGTGTGCCGTTAGACAAACGTGTGCGCTAAGAGCACAGAAAAAGAGACTGTTCTAAAGGTAGTAGTTCACTTTTATTTTTAATTTTTGCCTGATCTTAGACGATCGGATCGCGGCTCGAGCGCGCTCCGGACTTTCCCGCTTCACCTGCTTCACTCTCTAACGCAACGAGAAATACTTTTACGCATATCGAAGTATATATTTTCCGAAAGCTAATGAACTTGTCCAATAGGTGTAAAAATTATTTGATTTTAAACGGAATTATTCTTCTTCATATTTCGATCTAACCAGCCAAACTAGTTTTCGGGTGCTCTGGGTGGCTGGTCGATTTAAGTTAAAAAAGGTAATAATAAAAGTAGATAGAGATTCTTAATTTCGTGTGCCGTTAGGGAAACGTGTGCGCTAAGAGCACAGAATAATAAGATTCTTGTGAAGCGAGTAGTTCGTTTTTATTTTTCCCTGATCTTAGACGATCGAATCGCGGCTCGAGCGCGCTCCGGACTCTCCCGCTAAAAATCGGACTCTCCCGATAAAAATCAAAGCTAGAAGCAGACAAAGAACGCACCGGACAAGAAGCAACGCCAAAGAAAGATAACGGATACAGTCTCAAAGAGCTAAGTGGGTCAGGGGGCCCAGGCAAGGGGTGGCCCTAGGGTGCCTGAATGTCCTTCTGTTTAGGGTGATGCCACCCTTTGTAGTACCAGATGCCGACAGCACGCGCTCACGGGCAAAATACAAAGAAATCGACGAAAACAAAATGTCGCCATAGCACAGTCAGCGCCACAAGCGCGTGCAGGGACACGCTCTTTCACCTGCTTCTCAACAAAAAATAAACGTGTGTGACAAAATGGCGAGATGCCACCACCCTAAGCAAAGCGCGCATGAAGGCACCCTAGGTGGCCCGGCGTGCGCGTTCTAAGCGGAGTCGAGTTAGAAAAAAGATTTCAGCGCGTGGTTCACCAAATGCAAAGGTAGAAATATGACATTTTCTAAAAATTCCTGGCACTTCGTTCTCTTCTACAGCACGAGCCGCGACGTTCGGCAACCGCTTCGAGGATCTGACCGGCTGTGTCCCGGTATCGACCACCTGAACCGGGAGCTACGCACGGTGCGAAGGGAACAGCGGAGGCACGAGCATCTACGCCACCCCGTCCCTGGAGTGAGCGGCTACACAAGCGAGGAAACGAGCCTCGTCACGACATATGCCGGGGAATCTCTAGGCCTCGTAGAACTTTCTGTCTCCCGACCCTTCTCTTACCAACCCCGGACGAGCCTGTGACAACGTGCGACAGACATTGCTAATTGTTCTGTACAGAAGAGAACGAAGTGAGATGACAATTTCGTGTGCCGCTAAAAAAACGTGCGCGCCAAGAGCACAGAAAAACAAGTTAAAAAATGTAATAATAAACGGAGATAGAGATTCTTAATTTCGTGTGCCGTTAGAGAAACGTGTGCGCTAAGAGCACAGAATAATAAGATTCTTGTGAAGCGAGTAGTTCATTTTAATTTTTGCCTGATCTTAGACGATCGAATCGCGGCTCGCGCGCGCTCCGGACTTTCCCGCTTCACCTGCTTCACTCTCTAACGCAACGAGAAATACTTTTACGCATATCGAAGTATATATTTTCCGAAAGCTAATGAAATTCTCCGATAGGTGTGAAAAGCACTTGGTTTTAAACGAATTATTCTTCTTTTTTTGCTGAAAAACTCAAATCACTTTCGTTTGGCAAATAATCAAAAACTCGAAATTAAAGGATAGTATAATGGACCTACACTTACCCCAATGTGTCGAACGAAAGGAGGCCCTTTGACGAAGGCAGGAAGCGTGAGGCGAAGTTCGGGGTCCGAAGAAGAAGAAGACCGATTTCGGAACAAAGAACAAAGAAGGAGCTGGACACGGGCGACTACGCGACTGCTCCCAAGCACAACGGAAACCACACTGACTGGGGCCGGCCTCCGGGAACAAAGGAAAGCGGAGGAGGATGAGCGAGGAGGAGAGGGAAAGAGAAGGAAAAAAGTCGGGAAGGGGATCGCGCCGCCTGGTGGAGGGCAGACACACCACTCGCATCGGGTATTTTTTTCTTTATTATTTTGTTTATTTTTTGCACTATTTATTAAGGGAAGCATTCTCGTTGATCTCCCTTCATTAATACTGGTCGTATCTCATCACCGCTAGCACCGATGTGTTCCTTGGTCTTTCTAGACTCTATGGACACCACTTTGAACGTGTGAAATAAAAGTTTTCGCGATGCTACGATGCTTTTACCGTGGGCATGGTCATGGCGGCCATTTCTACTTTTAGAAACCTTTGTTCGGACCTCCGAGGCTGAATTTTCGTTTCCGAGACGCGATGTTGGTGTCAAACGTGAGCAGGCGTTTCGTAGAACACCCGACGACTGTACTTTACCTCTGATCGAGTGGATATTTTACTGTAGGAGCACTGATGCGACTTTCCACAGGAAAGCACTAATTTTCGGGTTCGATATTGCTCGGCGCTCCTCTGTCGTACGTTTTCTTGAGAAAACTGTTTTTGTTTCTTGTTTAGCAACGGCCAGTGCACCTTTCGAAAGTTATTAGAAAACTTTATCTGCTCTGGATTTTAAATAAAGACACACCTGCGTCCTGTAGCCGAAAGATTTTTTTTCTAAGCTTTGGAACCTCCTTTCGTAAAGGTATGCCTACTGAAATTTGAGGCCTCTGGTACCTTGCTACCTGTGAAGTTTCAACCCTCTGGATGCATCCGTTTTCCTCTGACGGCTAAAATTTGAATGCAGGCCTGTCTTAGTAAATCACGTTTGTTTTGATTAAAGTGTGTCTCCACATGTTACGGGGTGTGGGCTCTGTAGGGTTGTGTGGAGTCCCTCTTGCAGCACAGATGTGCATTTGTCCTCACCATCTCTGGAAAAGACGACCATAACTCAGAATGGACGTCCCTCGGAGACGAATGGCAGACTTTTGGTATTCCGCAGTAACCATGCCTGCGTTCAAATTTTGGCCGTCAAGGGAAAAGGGACGTAGCTTGAGGGTTCAAACTGAACAGATAGCAACCTAGAAGGTTAGTCGTGCTTCAGTTTAGCTCATCTTGCGCCAGAAAGTGCACAAGGGGACAAAATAGAAAGTGTCGGGCCAGTTGTACTGTAGGGCATGTCTACAAAAAGCTCTGTAGGGTTGTGTGGAGGCCCTCTTGCAGCACAGATGTGCATTTGTCCTCACCGTCTCTGGAAAAGACGACCATAACTCAGAATGGACGTCCCTCGGAGACGAATGGCAGACTTTTGGTATTCCGCAGTAACCATGCCTGCGTTCAAATTTTGGCCGTCAAGGGAAAAGGGACGTAGCTTGAGGGTTCAAACTGAACAGATAACAACCTAGAAGGTTAGTCGTGCTTCAGTTTAGCTCATCTTGCGTCAGAAAGTGCACAAGGGGACAAAATAGAAAGTGTCGGGCCAGTTGTACTGTAGGGGCATGTCTACAAAAAGCTCTGTAGGGTTGTGTGGAGGCCCTCTTGCAGCACATATGTGTATTTGTCCTCACTGTCTCTGGAAAAGACGACCATAACTCAGAATGGACGTCCCTCGGAGACAAATGGCAGACTTTTGGTATTCCGCAGTAACCATGCCTGTGTTCAAATTTTGGCCGTCAAGGGAAAAGGGACGTAGCTTGAGGGTTCAAACTGAACAGATAGCAACCTAGAAGGTTAGTCGTGCTTCAGTTTAGCTCATCTTGCGCCAGAAAGTGCAGAAGGGGACAAAATAGAAAGTGCCGGGCCAGTTGTACTGTAGGGGCATGTCTACAAAAAGCTCTGTAGGGTTGTGTGGAGGCCCTCTTGCGGCACATATGTGTATTTGTCCTCACCGTCTCTGGAAAAGACGACCATAACACAGAATGAACGTCCCTCGGAGACAAAAGGCAGACTTTTTGTATTCCGCAGTAACCATGCCTGCGTTCAAATTTTGGCCGTCAGGAGAAAAGGGACGTAGCTTGAGGGTTCAAACTGAACAGATAGCAACCTAGAAGGTTAGTCGTGCTTCAGTTTAGCTCATCTTGCGCCAGAAAGTGCACAAGGGGACAAAATAGAAAGTGTCGGGCCAGTTGTACTGTAGGGGCATGTCTACAAAAAGCTCTGTAGGGTTGTGTGGAGGCCCTCTTGCAGCACAGATGTGCATTTGTCCTCACCGTCTCTGGAAAAGACGACCATAACTCAGAATGGACGTCCCTCGGAGACGAATGGCAGACTTTTGGTATTCCGCAGTAACCATGCCTGCGTTCAAATTTTGGCCGTCAAGGGAAAAAGGACGTAGCTTGAGGGTTCAAACTGAACAGATAACAACCTAGAAGGTTAGTCGTGCTTCAGTTTAGCTCATCTTGCGCCAGAAAGTGCACAAGGGGACAAAATAGAAAGTGTCGGGCCAGTTGTACTGTAGGGGCATGTCTACAAAAAGCTCTGTAGGGTTGTGTGGAGGCCCTCTTGCAGCACATATGTGTATTTGTCCTCACCGTCTCTGGAAAAGACGACCATAACTCAGAATGGACGTCCCTCGGAGACGAATGGCAGACTTTTGGTATTCCGCAGTAACCATGCCTGTGTTCAAATTTTGGCCGTCAAGGGAAAAGGGACGTAGCTTGAGGGTTCAAACTGAACAGATAGCAACCTAGAAGGTTAGTCGTGCTTCAGTTTAGCTCATCTTGCGCCAGAAAGTGCAGAAGGGGACAAAATAGAAAGTGCCGGGCCAGTTGTACTGTAGGGGCATGTCTACAAAAAGCTCTGTAGGGTTGTGTGGAGGCCCTCTTGCAGCACATATGTGTATTTGTCCTCACCGTCTCTGGAAAAGACGACCATAACACAGAATGAACGTCCCTCGGAGACAAAAGGCAGACTTTTTGTATTCCGCAGTAACCATGCCTGCGTTCAAATTTTGGCCGTCAAGGGAAAAGGGACGTAGCTTGAGGGTTCAAACTGAACAGATAGCAACCTAGAAGGTTAGTCGTGCTTCAGTTTAGCTCATCTTGCGCCAGAAAGTGCACAAGGGGACAAAATAGAAAGTGTCGGGCCAGTTGTACTGCAGGGGCATGTCTACAAAAAGCTCTGTAGGGTTGTGTGGAGGCCCTCTTGCAGCACAGATGTGCATTTGTCCTCACCGTCTCTGGAAAAGAGGACCATAACTCAGAATGGACGTCCCTCGGAGACGAATGGCAGACTTTTGGTATTCCGCAGTAACCATGCCTGCGTTCAAATTTTGGCCGTCAAGGGAAAAGGGACGTAGCTTGAGGGTTCAAACTGAACAGATAGCAACCTAGAAGGTTAGTCGTGCTTCAGTTTAGCTCATCTTGCGCCAGAAAGTGCACAAGGGGACAAAATAGAAAGTGTCGGGCCAGTTGTACTGTAGGGGCATGTCTACAAAAAGCTCTGTAGGGTTGTGTGGAGGCCCTCTTGCAGCACATATGTGTATTTGTCCTCACCATCTCTGGAAAAGACGACCATAACACAGTATGAACGTCCCTCGGAGACAAAAGGCAGACTTTTTGTATTCTGCAGTAACCATGCCTGCGTTCAAATTTTGGCCGTCAAGGGAAAAGGGACGTAGCTTGAGGGTTCAAACTGAACAGATAGCAAGCTAGAAGGTTCCTCATGCTTCAGTCGAGCTCATCTTGCACCAGAAAAAGCACAAGGGGGGAAAATAAAGAGTGTGGGGCCAGTTGTACTCTAGGGGCATGTATACAAAAAGCTCTGCAGGAACAAACCTTTTCCCGTGGTGGACAGCAGGGGCCTGAAGACATAAATAAAAAAGAAGTGGCTCATTTAACGACTCTTCACTGCGCCAGAAAAACAAGAATCAGCTCATTTCTTTTTGAGACCTCAGACTTTATTAGGCCAAGAATACAATTTTTCAGACGAGCTGTCTCAATGTAAAAACACACTTCCTTATTAGTACCCTTTTGACACACAAACAGTCCTACCTGGTGCGAGACCCTTCCCCAACAATTTGATAGTTGTACGTACCTATAATGGTTTTCTAATTACGAGCGAGCGGCAGCTCTTTGAAGTCTTGCTCGCGCTCTGGTGAGCCTTCAAACGACTAGCCGCTCCGCCGAGCGCGCGCCGCACGAGATGAATGAATTAAAATAATCTCGCGCGCATAGCGCACGTTCCTTTTACCCGAGGGAGCGCTTCAGAACAAAAAAGCAAATTGTGGTAGCAAATGATGAAGCGGTGAGCAATATCGAACCTGAAAATGACTGCTTTCGTGCGGGAAGTCGCATCAGTGCTCGTAGAGTAAACCATCGACTCGATCCGAGGTAAACTACAGTCGTCGGGTCTTCTACGGAACGCGTGCTCGTGTTTGACACCAACATCGCGGCTCGGAAACGAAAATTCAGCCTCGGAGGTCCGAACACAGGTTCGGAAATTAGAATTGGCCGCCATGACCATGCCCACGGTAAAAGCGTCGTAGCATCGCGAAACCTTTTATTACACACGTTCAAAGTGGTGTCCGTAGAGTCTAGAAAGACCAAGGAACACATCGGTGCTAGCGGTGGCGAGATACGACCAGTATTAATGAAGCGAGATCGAAGAAAGGATCGGTGCCTAAAGTGAGGAAAGCGAATGGCTGGCTTCGATGTGAAAACTTTCAAACGCCGTTTATTTCGCGAAACTCGCATCACACAAGAAAAGAAATCGGTCTCTGTCCAGTCCAGGGGCGGCTGGGAACAAGTGTCCCCCATTTGATATCGTAAATTCAAGGTCGTAATATAGATTTCAGAAATTCAATATTTTCAATGGTAAAAAGGCACCAGGTGGCGGGATTTACCGACCGGTCGGAATTGCTCAGCCGCACTCATGGATCCATTCATTCGAAACGGGTCATCTATCTATTCATTCATAAAAAATGTAATTCCTGGCCGTGTTTTAAAATTAACGAAATCATACTGCGAGGTAAAGCTT